TTTTTCCTCAGAGGGATACAGCCGTTGCACTCTGCCTACTTCTGTCACATCAACACTTCATCTTGGCCACCATTTCACAGAGGGTTATAACTGTGTCCCTTTGTGCTTTTGACAAGAGTTTAAGGTTCCAGTTGTCTCTATAAAACCCGGGAACAATACTCAGATGTAATCCTGTTGGAGCTTGATGCCACTTGCTGGATTTTTATGCGAGCGGTCAGTTAACGGACATAATGTCCCTTTTGGCAACTACTTCATCTTAAGTTGACTTTTCAAAGTGCTCTTTAGCATTTAAGCAAATGGATACTCTACAAAACTTGATTCTCACTATTGTGATCACCCTGGCAACACAACGAGAGTTACTTAAACACATACTCAGAACAGACTAAGGGAGATTGCAGTTTCTAACATTTTTAAAGAGGTACAATTAGTGCAATTGCTCTACAGCTCGTTTGCATTCAAGCCTCTTGAGGTTTTGAATCTTTGCACTGGATCAGCCAACTTTCAGTCACACTGTGAAAATGTCCATTCTACTCCATGGCGACCGTGAAGGACTGATCTGCTTTCAAAGTCTATAATAACTTCTGACATAGTTTACTTGACTCCACGCTGTGACAGAAATGTCTTCTGGAGTCAAAGCCGGAAATCTCTGAAACAGGGCACCACTTTGGAAGCCTAAAGCCAAACACAGTGAGATTATACTTCAAGGGGGATTTTTTCCCCATAAAGGTATATGTATAAAAATGTGAATGATAATAGGATAGATATAGAATATTCTGAATATTTTCCTGCATAGTTATGTTGATTTGACAGACTCAAATAATTTGCAAGCAATAACCTCCTACCACTAAATGACATGGACATACGGAATGGAAAAATAAAATAATAATGATCAAAACTTACATCTTGGGCAAGAACCTAATATGCACAAAAGGCTGAAAATCAGCCATATTTAAGGACAGCCATGGAGAGACTGCACCTCACTAAGACACCGCTTGATATAGAGATGAAAACACTCAAAACTGGACTACTGTAATGTGCGTATGTAAATCGATCTTGACAAGCCAAAGTATTATCCACAGAACAAGATCTGATTAAAAAAACAAAAACCTTGAAGCCAAAAGTTCAAGTTCTGTGCCTTGGAGTATTCGAAAACACTGATCTCATTTAAAATGGTTACTTGTGCCCTTTGAAACCTCTGCAAGGATTTTCTTTGATCGGCTAAAAGCCTATGATTATCATAACATGATGCCAATACAATCTGTATGGATAAGACATAAGATTTAATGTTTGTAGACGGCCCATTTTAGCGGAGACTACAGAAAAGCATAGAATTGGTTATGAAGATGGAAATCTGTGAAGATGACAGTCTGAGATTTTATATGCTTAGAAGTATTGCTTTCTCAAAGGTTTTCATGGTCCAAATAGAAATGAGGCACATATCAGAAAGACACTAACATGCTAGGATGAGATCACAAAATAGAGCTGTAAAACCACTGCGATGAGATATGTGTGTGTGTGTGTGTGTGTGTGTGTGTGTGTGTGTGTGTGTGAGGAGGCTGTTGCCTTTCTGTACTATGGAATAGCCACACATCTGTGATTGGCTCGACGTACAGCATGTCAGCACTGCTGGAGAGGGTATGAAACGTCTTGAACTATTAATGCCAGTTGAGCCAACATGATGCCAATTTAAATAGAACATCAACTATATCACACATTTGTGTACGAATACTATTGCATCATACAAGATACTGGCATGATTCTGAAACATTAGTCTTAATTGGCATTAAAAAGACATTTAATGTCATGTAAATCTGCCATATTTATTTAACTATGCAACTATGCACACTTAAGTTTGCTTATGTCCAGTGAACTAGCAAACAAAAATGTATCACTGTATAACTGACACAACTTTTCCCAACAATTTTCCCTTTGAAAAGATGCATTTTCCAACCACAAGAGTCTCTCAGCAATCAGCATAGAATTCTGCTTGGCTTTATTTTTTTAAACATGAGAATCAAAGCTAAGGATGCATGAGAAATCTATGTAACCCCCCTTGGACATAGACAAACATTCCATCAAGAATCAGATCTTTGCAAAACTTTGAACTCATGCACAGAGGACTAACATAAACAGTATTGTACTGCTTAAGAGCAATTGTTCCACTGGCAGAGCAATAGTCAAGTCATGAGGGATTCCCAAAGAATAACATTGGGTGTTTACATTTCAAGTAATTATACTAACCTCAAGAAGAGTAACAGGAAAAATTAATTATTCAATAAAAAAGGTTGAGAGTCAAGGGAGACTGGAGGAAAGTTACGCATGACACTGAATTCCCCAGAGATGAAATAATGTCCTGAGATGACGGCAAAGGAAATTACTAAATAGCTATATAGAAGCAAAAGGCAACAGTGATGTCCTCAGATAGAAATCTTAATGTGGTCTTTTAACATATCAACTTTGACATTGGCTCTAAGAATGAAAAGCTTGGTTTGTTAACAAATAATGAGGACATTGTGGCACACTCAACAGTAACTTAAGTTTGGCTTTAATCCTGGTAATACCAGGAAAACATATATTCATCTTATATGTGTTCATATATATATAGCCTATAGCATATATATATATATATATATATATATCTTCAGAAGCATTTTACAGTCCACTTGTACAATTGTAGTATCAAAAAGCAAATACAGTATATTATGTCTCACATTAATGCCACGTAAATGCCAAGAATATTTAGTTTATCCTACGGCAACTCTACTGAAATAATTTAGCAGTAAGCTAAATATGTGCTCTTTAACTAATAATTTTGCATACAAAAAAAAAATCTGCAAAAAAAAAAAAAACCTCACTTTAAAGGGGGAATAATTGTAAAACAGCTTTTAAAATCACTTGGGTTTTGAGAATCTCCATATCAGATATGAAAATATTCCATGTCAGTACAGAGTAGGCTACAAGGGAATAATAGACTTAATGTCCTGTTTTCTTCACACATATGTTTATATAAATATAAAAGTTGTTTGGCATCTTTCACATCTTAACCCTGTCAGCTTCTGCCATTTTGGGGTAATGAGTAGCACACACTACACTACTTACAGTATTTTGCTTTGTAATAAATCAGAGAACCGCTTCCTTAGTAAATGTTTCAATATGTGCACTGGTTTTGAAGAACACTTGGAGTGGTATTCTCATGGGAGGAGGTTACATGGGCCTAGCAATTACATTCACCAAGGATTTCGCTGAAATACCGCCTTACCGAGAGCAGGCACTGTGGATCAGCAAAAAAAAGCAGTCCAGTTTTTTCTCACTGTTGCTGTTGGATTGAAAGACATGTATAACACAGGAAGTCCACAACAACACATATTTTAAAAGACCTATTAACAGATAGAAAAGGCATTTGGCTTTATTCTTAACAAACTGTCTAACAAATATTACTAAACAATCCTATTTAATAGACTGCACCAGTCTAATTAAAATATCAAACATGACACCGTATTACTGGTTTGAATCAGAATCACTGCCAAACCGCAGTTTTGACCGATGAATCATGTGGTTCTAAAATGGATTTACACATCCGGCTAATAACAGATGACCTAATGTAGCGGGTCATCTGTCGAGGTGAACACACAAAAATAGCAAGCTTCTAATATTGTTTTGGGCTACTAACCTTTTTCTGTTTTTATGTCACAGCTAAATATTTTAATTCTACTTGGTTTTGAAACTGACGAATGTCGTGATCCGTAACGAAGTCGCTATAGTTATTAAAACCAAACATTCCAGTGTCATAAATTTAAAAACCTGAACGTATTTGTATAGTATGGTTTTAAAACTAAGTGCTTAACAATTGCTTAAATATTAAACAAAAACGTATTATACTTAAAATGCTTATTAATTTTAGTTAATTTATCTTGATGGCACAAAAGCCTAAATCCGTTTTAAAAGTAGGGTAGAAACTTTACTGGTATGATGGTCTACTGTCTTATTTCCCCTTTTATATTTTCACAAAAATCTGCAAAACAAACATGCTCCGATAATAAAAATGATCAAGTCCAAAGCTTCCAAAAGGAGACATGTAGTGAGGCAACAGTTAACTGAGTGGTACGCGCTGTCTGTGGGAACTGATTGGCCTCTGGCTATTGCCTTGACATTAAACTCTTCGAGGACAATTGGTTAAGTGGAGTTAACTGTTGCATATTCTCCCTGAGGTAGCTTCCTTTTTGATCTTGCCGAGACTGGCGCCTTCCAAAACAGGGCTTGTCTGCATTATGAAATGCTTTGACTTACGGTGAGGGGTTGCCAGTTGCGCCTCAATAGAGGCTTTCTGCAGTCTTAAAGGGCCAAGACAAGCTTTAAATTGCCGTAATGCAGCGTGAAAAAATCATCGTCAATTCAGTCACATCATTTTGTCCGGTCACAGTTTTACGGAAAAAAAAGTTGTTGTTTTTTCCATCGAACACAGGGATCTGTTTTTGAGGCAAAACAGACATTATGCAATTTATAATTTACATTTTAAAAATCAACTTAAAATGCAATAAAACACTTTATCTCGGAAAAAGCTACTATCACTAGTCTTAATTTTGGTATAGGCATGCATTCAATAAAACCCCTCAAAATTCTATCCCACGTGCGTTATAAAAACGTTTTCCACTATATCTACTATACAGCAGTTTTTATAAAGAAAACTCCCGTGAACGAAGAGGCCAGGGAAGTGGCTTGTTTCGCTGTATGTTTTCAATAAGAGTTGAGTTAATGAGTACGGAGGCCCGCTATACAGACATCCCCTCTGGTTAATTGCAACAAAACTTCTCAAATGGCTCCTTGCCTCCAAGACTGGAGCCCCCAGAGCAATCAATAAACCACCTCGGCAAGACAAGTATGATTAACCATGCAACATTTCTTTCAAAAGCATTGTGACGTCTCAAAGAAACTGGTTTGTCCAATCAGGACTAGCACGCGGAAAGTCATGTGGGTGAAATGTCAAGCCGATTGGAGGGCGGCGGGGAAAAAAAGAACTTTTGGAAGTTTATAGCTGCGAGTGCGCTCCGCTAGGAGAGTGAGGCAAGCGTCGCAAACGCGCGACGGCAGAAGGAAAAGGCACTGGTGGACGAGTAAAATTCAGGACGACTCACATATTCTTATTGTATGGCCCCTCTATCGTCCATGATGAATTCTTTTCAAGGGCCACTCTCACAAGAAGGAAAACTACAGGAACGCAAAAGTGCGGACAAAGCGGAGGCTCAAACCAACGATAAAGCGACTGTCAAAGGATGTAAAGGCAAGGCGCTGAGTCTTCCGTTCAGTGTGGAGTCTTTAATATCAGACAGAACAAGCACACGGACTTTATACACATCATCTGAATCGGGTATTATATCTCCGACATCCGGTGGAGATGAGCGGCTGAGGCTCTCGCCCATGGCTCTTTACACAGATAGAAAGATCCCAGTGGAGAGCGTCTCCAACCTATCCGACTGCAAGAGAGGAGATATGGAAGAACTAAATGACAAGGGACAGTCCGGCTGGTTTCAGACACCCTCGTACACTTCTCCGCCAAGTGAGTTGCTCAGCAGGGAAACCTGTCAATAATGTGGCATGATGACGCAAGACATTAAACATGCATGTTTTACATAGGCTATAGCAAAAAGCACTAATAAATACCAGGGAAATCGATTACCATAAAGACTATATTTAATCAAGCTCATTTGGATTTGAAATGAGATTTTTATATAAAAGTTAAAAGAATGTAGGCTAGCCTATGTGTAGAGGAAGAGCTTGATGTCATCCAAGAGTGGAATAATTGACCAGTGGGATAGCCTACTTCTGCAAAGAAAAGTCTGAAGTTGCAAAAGAAAAAAAAACGCATTCCAGTTTAATTAAGACAATTTAGTGGATCAATCTGAATTAAAAACAGGCTAGCCTATATTTCCGTTTCTGTATGTAGAAATTTTAAGATTATGCGATTGCGCATATCCTAATGCATGCTCCTCATAATGCTGAAAATAAACGTGTAGCTTCGGCAGAAAAAGTAACTGTCAATGCAGTGTAATACAATTATATTAATGTAATGTAATATAACTGTAACATAATTCCTTTTTATAGTAAAGTTTAATTTAATTATTTGTTCGCAGGGCACTCAAGTCCACCTCCATGTACCCTCAGAAAGCATAAGAACAACCGAAAACCGCGGACCCCGTTCACCACCTCGCAGCTGCTCGCTTTGGAGAGAAAATTTCGTCAAAAACAGTATCTTTCTATTGCAGAGAGAGCGGAATTTTCCAATTCACTCAACCTCACTGAGACTCAAGTTAAAATCTGGTTTCAAAACAGACGAGCGAAGGCAAAAAGACTACAAGAGGCCGAACTTGAGAAACTGAAACTTGCAACCAAGCCATTATTACCTGCGTTCGCCTTTCCGTTCCCATTCGGAACACACGTTGGATCTCCACCCCTCTACGGACCGTCCAGTTCCTTTCCTAGACCTGCGTTACCAGTCCCAGGACTTTTCGGAGGGCCAGTGACCTACGGAATGTATTATTTGTCTTAACCAAGTGAGCACGTCCTTCAAGTCACCGTCTATAGCTGCTGCGGTTCTGCCAGTCACAAGACGAGTGAAATGATAGCAAACAAGTTTTCTTTAAAGAACTCTACACCCATTTAAAATAAATTATTCTTGTGATCTACACAGATTATTCCTAAAGTGAGAGTCCCCAAATTGGCTTTAAAAGTGCAATGAATCTTCCCTGAATATATATATTATAAGTACAGATAACACGCTATGTGGCTAATTGTCTTAGTGTCAGAGAAAATAATTTCCAAGAGATAATTTATACTGAGGGCACAGCCAATCTGGCAAGTGTCTAGATCAGCATCACTTGCTGATGATGCGTGATGCGCGAGAAAACACCTAGTGTGCTCTGAAATGTATGTAGGATACATCCGCGCCAGTTCCAACAAAGCTCTTAAATTCAAGAAATTACCTTATAATTATTACTAAGGGTTTTATAACTTAAAGAGCTCGTTGGACTGTCAGCAGAATCTTACAGTACAAATAAAAAACTGATTTCAGTTCAACTCTGTCCTGTCTTATAACATTGCTACTTTCCAATACTAGAGTCCCCAAATTGGCTTTAAAAGTGCAATGAATCTTCCCTGAATATATATATTATAAGTACAGATAACACGCTATGTGGCTAATTGTCTTAGTGTCAGAGAAAATAATTTCCAAGAGATAATTTATACTGAGGGCACAGCCAATCTGGCAAGTGTCTAGATCAGCATCACTTGCTGATGATGCGTGATGCGCGAGAAAACACCTAGTGTGCTCTGAAATGTATGTAGGATACATCCGCGCCAGTTCCAACAAAGCTCTTAAATTCAAGAAATTACCTTATAATTATTACTAAGGGTCTTATAACTTAAAGAGCTCGTTGCGACTGTCAGCAGAATCTTACAGTACAAATAAAAAACTGATTTCAGTTCAACTCTGTCTTGTCTTATAACATTGCTACTTTCCAATACTTGGCCATAGGCTGCCAAATTCAGGCCTAAATGGATAGTAAGTGTGAGCCTTTTTAAAATGAATACGTGTATTTTCACGCAAACCAAATATTTTGTAGCATATTACAAAGATTGTACCCAGATAACTATGATTTGCTAAATGTACACTGCCAATAGGTCCAATAGCCTACCTCTACGTCTTTTTTTTCTTCCATTATTTGACAGGCTACCCGGTTTTAGGTTGAAATGCGTGGTTTGTTATTCTGTTGGTCTTTATTGAAGAGGAACTAGATGCAGAGACAACCAGCATCGTCCATTATACCATAATTTTACTCAACTTTTCCTCCCTTACGTTTTTACAGAGGATTTTTTGGCCTGTGTTTATTGATTTTTCGCTTGTTTAGCCATAATCCCTTCAGTAGACTACATATGCTAGTTTGCTAGGTTGAAAGATTAATGTCTAGATTTGTATTATTGTAAATACACGTATATATTACAGATTTTGCATTCCTTTTTTAAAAAATAAATTACAAATTGGATTGCTGATATTTATACACTGTTTACATTTATCTTCTGTAAATTATTGTATATTTTATATGTATATACAAATTAGAAAAATGATCTTTTCATTAAAAAATAAATCTCACGGAGACTGATGTGTACAATGTCGTTATTTATAAGTTAAAAAATACAACATTTCAATTCAATAATCCTCTAGATGATCTTTTGTCTATTTTATCTCTTACATGAACCTAAACAAAAAAAAATCAACTCGCTTATGAGATTTGTAACAACTGTTGTTCCACATATTAAATTGTTTCAGAGACCGACGATTATATTACAAATGTTTAATTTAGGCTCATACTCAGCGCTAAATGGACAACAATAATTTCCAAGAGACACGAAGATGCTAGTAATTATAAATAAAAAACTATTAAGAAATAAAAAATATTACAATAACAATCAAAATAAAACATTATTTATATTAAAAGTAAAAACATTCACGACCAAAATTAAAAATAAAGGATCCTGAAGTACATTCCAGATACGAGCCCTTCAGATAACCTTCACGGTATTTATAGTGTTACAAAATCCACATTTCCGTGAAACCGACTGAAGAACACACATTAGTTGCAACGCGTCTTAGGTTTTTATTAGTTCTTGCGTGAGTTTCACACGCCATCATTACACGCATGCATTTGTGTCTGAAACATCTAGCGAGATGTTTGTGCCATTAGTTGAAAGCGACTTTAGATCTCGAAAGGCTTACATTTATTGGAATATGTAATACATAATTAAAGAGTTAAATATTGAATATATTTTCCTTGACTTTCAAACTTCTTGCCACAACTGAGTGCAAAGTTTTACATCAAAGATTATTAATCTCAACCATACATAGAGAGAAGACAACTTTTTAAAGATTGCTTTCACAAGTTTTATTGCTTTATTACAAAAATACTGCTCTGGAGAAACAAATGCTTTACCAAGCTAACGTGATAAATTGTTTGCATTGGATAAAAACTTTGGCCTACTTCTTCCTTCTTCCTCTGAAGCCTTTGACTGAGCCTTGACCGAAGCACATGGATGATGGAACTCTGGAGGAAAGATAATAATCAACACATAGTTCTGATCACTGAGTCTACAGGGTAATGAAACTTAATCAAGCATTTATATGAATCCATGACCATGAATCCACCCACTTGTATGAATATCGTGTCTTTAGATTAGCTGTCTGCATTGGTTCGGTTTCTACAGTGTTTGTGCTTTCTGGCTTTGGGGTCAAGGAGAAGTCCATCGACTCACTTTCTTGTTGAATAGTTGTTGTTTCAGAAACCTGCATATGTGCTTCCTTCTGCTGTTGGGTCTTTTTTTCTTGGTTTCTGTTGATTTTCATAAGATTATGATTAAAAAAAATTCTTAAGTGATCAAATAGTCCAAAATTTAATTATATAATGCTGTTCAGCTGAAATAATGAAATGACTAGATATGAAAGAAAAAGTAGAATTTCTATAATCAAAAAATGACCACAATTTACATTAGTATTAATATCAAACCTTCCGCTAATTTTTGCTTTGTCAAATCTGAAATCTGCTGGATAGCTGTGTTCTGATAAGATGATCTTTCCTCTCTTTGCATGTTTTGAATTTCAGTCCACATCCTTCCACCAAGCACTCATACTGAAAATCAATATTAACAAGACACAATCAGCAAAAAAAAAAAAAATTATAAAAATTAGCAAAGCTGAAAAAATATTTGTTGGTTTAAACAGAGTGTATGAGGAGGAGGAAAAGTGTACTCATATATTCTTTATTTCTGGTATTTCTGTGCCATTAAAATCAGTGTTTCAATGTTTCAAGCTACTAAAACACACACTGCATTTCAACTTTCTGTTGAAACCAGTAGGTGGCAGCATTTCGCTACATAAAAAAAGATGTTTGCTCTCATTTAATTTAAAGGGTTAGTTCACCCTCAAGTCATCCTAGGTGTATATGACTTTCTTCTTTCAGACGAATGCAGTCGGAGTTATATTTAAAATTGTCTTTGATCTTTCAAGCTGTTTAATGCCACTCAGCAGGTGTCGCGCTTAGTAACACATACAGCTGTTCCCTCACCACAGTGCAACAGTGAAAAGGGACCCCTTTCAAACAGTGTCGCGTTCCGAACGTTGTTTAAGCGACATACACCGGTATTGCGGTATTTAAAAAATGAATATCATAATAAAAATAAACACCGGTATTCGGTATGAACCGGTATACCGCCCAGCACTAGATTGGCGCTTTTTATTTAACTTCTTTTGGACTGATGCATGCAACACCCGCTGAGTGGCATTAAACAGCTTGAAAGATCAAAGACAATATTTAATATAACTCCGACTGGATTCGTCTGAAAAAAGAAAGTCATATACTCCTAGGATGACTTGAGGGTGAGTAATTCATGGGCTAATTTTCATTTTTGGGTGAGCTAACCCTTTAATGTATACTCTTCTGTGCAAATGTATAATATAGTTATGAATATCAATTATTAAATGATTTTATGTAGTATTTCCATGAGAGAGTAATATAAAAACATCAAATGTATATGTGGTTAGCATGCACAATGAAAAACTGTTTTTGTTCTAACGTCCAATAGTTTTTATAGCCGCTATTCCTATCTGGCATGCAAATACCCAAATAATTCACGGAAGACTGCCTCCAGTGACACTGCAATTCTTATCAACTTAATCAAACTGGTAAATAAAACTAAAATCTAGTATGCATATAGTCCTACAAATACCACTGAAAGTGATCACACAACTTCTTACAACAAGTAACAACAACATGTACAGTATCACTCACTACACTCCTATAACATCTGATATTACAAATGACAATACCATGCATTGTTTCTCCGCCATGATCTGGAAGAGGGAGTCATGCCACTCCAAGATGTGCATCTCCAGCAGTCGGTTTGATGGAAATGAGCGCTTGCAGTTGGAACACACATTTCGATGTAATGAATTGTAGTGGTGTTCATACCCTTCCAACGTGTCAAATAACTGCCTGCATCCCGCAATGTGACATCTGAACTCAGAGATACTGGGAAGAGGGTTGAGAAATTAGTGGCACATTAGTATCAAGTCAAGAGAATGTTGCTCAAAATGTTTCACCACTCATCCAAGTGAGGTCATCAGTAAACTTATGGTCTAGATTGCCCAGCACTTAACCTCATCAGAATCAGATACTGTGACATTACTCAATAATAATACTAAAATCTACACTACTGATACTTATCGTAATCTATCAAGTTGCATAAAGACAGCTACAAAGAAAGAAACATCCATTTGACCATAATAAATAGCCTATGCAAGAACATTTTATAACGACCTGGACTGATATTCTTCACAGACATGATAATTATTAAGTTTTAAAAGTTTTAACAAATAAGATGAATACTAATGATCTCAATTGGACCTACCGATTAATTTTATGCTTATGAGTAATTTGTTAATTCATAATTTGCCTAATTACAAAGCAATATTAATAGTGAAACGACATTACTCACGTCGGAGGATGTTCATCATCTGCAATAGCCGTCACGACATCCTGTAGGTACATGTGCCTGTGTATGTCGCCATCCTGTTGAATTACACATTAAGGAATCGGGATATTGGTAAATATCCCATCATCATATCACAGTCATGTCATTTCTTCGTCACTCTTAAATAACACATTGAGAGATAAACATGCAATTGTTGTTATATATATTAGCAGAAGGAAGGCACTTTTCTGAAATGCAATAACCTTTTCTATCGATCCAGTCGAAGAATCTACATACCTCAAAACATTCATCTTCTACAGCAAATCGAAGTCGTTGAGGTCTGAATCCAAAAGGTGAAAAAGTATTTTCACCTTCTGTGTCTTTTTGTTGTAAACAATGCCACTCGGATTCCCTATTTTCAATTACCGGTATCTTTCCTGCAGGAATTTGTGGTGCTGTAGACCCCAATAGTTGAATTAATTCAGGTTGCAGCAATATGTTCAGGCTGTAGCATTATC